TTGCCTCATGGCACATGAGAAACCACCAGAGTTATGTACCACTTCTTCTAAAGAACCTTATACTTTTGATGATATGCAAGACGCTTTTAATGAACTTTACGATGAGTCCTAATAGAACAATAAAACAATAAGACGCTCAACCTAGGAAAAATAAAACAAGTCCTAATAGAACAATAGAACAATAGGACGCTCAACCTAGGAAAAAGAAAACAAGTCCTAATAGACAACCTAAATTAATTAGGAACACTAGACCACTTAGAAAGAACACTAGGTTGAACAATGATCATTTTAGCGAACCTGGAAATAACACCTTGAATGTGCATAAACAAAACTTTTCTCAAAATATGATAAACCAATATAGAAACCTAGAAATTATTATCAACCTAGGAGAATGCATAATCCAAACGTCATTTTTCATTATTGCAATAGGATATGACATATAGCCCCGGTTTGCTTCACTAGGCATTGAACCAGCGAGCTAGGGTTTCAAGGGTGGTGTTGACTGTTGAGCCCAAAATATTCTTTATTTAATCTTTACCAAATCAGTACTTTTATGCATTAAAAAGTGCATTTTTACACTTGAATGATCATATTTGCATCTTAGTCATTATTTACAAAATCTATTCGTAATGCACACTCATAGTTATTAATGGCGAGGGGCGGGCGAGAAGACCTTTTTTATGGCGAGAGGCGGGCGGTCAAATGGCGAACATACATACATACATACATATATATGTGTGTGTGTGTGTATAAAGTATGTTACTATGTGTATGTATGTATGTATAAACACATAATATTGATACTATATATATATATATATATGTATATATATATATATATATATATATATATATTGAAAGGATAATTTTTATTAAGAAAGAGGAAAAAAGAAAAAAGTACATGGAGGGGAGGACTAGACCAATGCCCCTCTTAAACTGCATGAAGTAAAGAAAAACTGAAAGGGAAATAAACATGAACGAAAATGATCACTCCCAGATTATAAAGCCGGGATGCTGATCAAGCAAAAGGTTTCTAGGCATTACTTTCTTTGGCCTCTTCCCATCGTTTCCAATAGGACCGACGGGGCCGACATACCAAAAGGGCCCGGAGTAACTTTTGGTAGTGATAATTTTTTCCAAAGTTGTTGATTTTTGGCTAGGCCAGTATCTGGTGATCTCACTAACCGTCCCGACTTCGAGGTTTGGGTCGTAGCTTCTAGTTTTGATTGTTCTTGGTGCATTTGGCCTCCTGCCTGCTTTTTTGGTACGTCTATTTTGGACATCTTGAAAGTCATTGGTTTCCTCCCTTTGTTGTGATGTCCCCCCTTCTTCAATGTAGGACCTAATTTCATATTCTTGTCCGTCGATCTCAAAGGATTGAAGGACCGGTCCTATTGTTGATGGGTTGATACCTGCATCGTTGGTCAACAGTGGAGGGGGGTTTTTGTTTTCCATAGGATCAGAAGGAATCTCAGCATTTCCTGTAGATGAAAGACTTAGTGCGCCTTCCATCTCTTTCTCAAGAGAAAGAGTGTGTGCACCACTAGTAGCTTCCAACAATTCTTTTGTGAGGACTGGAAATTCAATTAAGTTGATTTGAGAAGGGTCAGGAATGTACTCTTCCTTATTTTCAGTGTCAACAGTCTGTGTGCCTTCCAATGCTGCCTTGGAAGACAGATTGTGTGTACCACAACTGAGTTCATTGTTAAAAAGTAAAGGAGAATCGGGTTCCAGTATAAGGGTATCAACTTGGACATTGGTCAGAGTCGCCAATATTACCTCACTAATACCACAAGTTGCTGGACAATTGGCAGTAGGAATAACTTCACAAACATCTGAAGCTATCTTAACATTATGATGAGCTGCTGTACAACTTTGAGTAAGAGTTGCTTCAGCATCTTTCTCAACACAATCTGTGTCTTCACAGACGATAGGGTCTGGATCAGTCCTGAGGTTTGTTGCTGGGGAGCTGCCACTAGGGGTTGCTTCAAGATCATTAGAAATTGAAGGGGGTTCATGAGCTGTAGAGTCCCTCACATTAGCAAGGGTTAGATTAGTTGCCACGTCAACTCTCGGAGGAGCAGCCCCGTTTGAGACTGTTGTTTCGGCAGCAGAAATAGACATGGTTGCATCCTCACCCTGGGTTGTTTGCAAAACAGCCTCTATTGTAGTTGGGGTCACTCCAGGCTTAGGAGCAGCAATTCCAGTTCTAGAAACCCCTTCTGTTTTAACGCCTTCTGTTTTAACCCATCTAGAGTTCTCATTCTTTCTCTTACAGTTTTTGTGGCCAAAAGATTTGCATGAGGGGCAATAGTCTTGAAGATCTTCATAAGTTATTGGCTGTAGGAAGGTGAGTTCTCCCAGGTGAATCCAAACACTTCGAGGCAGTTCTTTGCTGGTATCTATCTCAACACATATTCGGGCAACAGAGGGCCTCGAAAGAGTTTCTGTTGCTGAATCAGTTTTTAGGGGTTTACCAAGCAGGTTCCCATTTGAGAATAAAGCAAGAGAATCAAATAGATGTATAGGCAAACCTTCAAGGCCTATCCAAACTGGAATTAGTGGGGAATCGGCATTAGGGTCAAAATCATGAGTCCATCGGAAAACTTTCAAAGAGAATCCATTAATCTTCCAATATTTTCGCAACAAGCATCTCAGGAAATCCTTTTCAGATTCGAAATTGATCAAAATATGGCAGTCATCTAAGAGACTTACAGAGAAATCGCTTTCAAAGGCAATCCGTTCAAAAGCTTTTCTGGTTGAGATAAGGCTTGGTCTCCCTTTGATGAAGTGCCCAACTATTGTTTGTGCGAATCTGGATGAGAGTGCACTCACATCCGCGTCTAGGAAGGAGATGGCAGGTTGGCCTTTAAATTTGCCCGCTGGTTTAAAGTCTCCGGCATCAGCAATTTCTCTGAATGTGCGCTGTGGAAGGAAGCTGGACATGGTTGGATGATGGTCGCCGGACCGCCATGGCGGTCGGTGGAGACCTAGCCGCAGAAAACAGATCTGAGGGAGAAGACATTTATATATATATATATATATATATATATATATATATATATATATATATATATATATATATATATATATATTGGTGGTTCGGAAGCAACACCAAACACTTCAAAGGAACCCTTCGTCTCATCTTACCAGGACTTTTTGCACCTGGTCCCTTTGGAAGGCACGTAACTCCAGCATCCACAACGCATCGAACCCAACGGCAGAGGGAATTTTTCAAGCATGCCTCAAATCCCTACAAGCGTGGGCATGGATAAATAGAAACAAAAAATGGATGGTCTGGGATGAAGATTTCAAGGGCTTGGGGATCGATTCATTTTGGCGCAATGGTCATAGAGTTTTATTCAAATGTGTAGCTTGACTTATTTTCTTTATCCCGCCCATGCCCCCTGTATCACCTCTCTTTCCTCTTCAATAAAAGTTTCTTTCAATATATATATATATTGTGGTCATTGCATGCAATAAAAGGTGGGCACATTTCTTTTTTGCAGGCACACACATAACACATGCTTGTCGCAGTGAGTGAGTGAGTGTGTGGGAGTATATGTGAGTGTGGGTGTGTGTTTGTGTGTGTGAGTGACTGAGAGAGTGTGAGATCAAGTGTCTGTGAGAAAGAAATACACTATTTAATTCTTTATTTATCATAACAGATAATACAGAGTAATTGCCTTATATAGACTAGAGGCGTACATTCTAAAACACAAGAGGAAACTTTAATAATAGAATCTCACCAAATAACTAGTTGCTAAATAAGTACTAATCAATAATTAGTGGTGAACAAATTAGGAAACTGAATACTAGTAGGAGACTACAACTAAAGCTTAATAAAAAATTACTACTACTAATAATAGATTAATAGTAATCTAATAATAATAATGATAATAATCTTACTAATATTTATATCTAATACTTAATATTTATCATGATAATAACTACTAATAATAATTCTAAGACAATTTTGATCGTATCATTACACCCCTTTTGGAGATCAAAATAAGGGTATCTTACTTTGGGAATCCAACTGTGGCTGTTTCCAGATGACCCATGACTTTGGGGACTGTTTTCAAGAGGCTACCGTGGAGTGTTTTGTTCAAACGTTGTGGCCTGACATTGTGAGAGAGGTAAATCACCAACGATATGGCATACGATGACATGGTGTATGCAACTATCAGAATTGGGAAATGCCTTTGAGGCTAACACTTTATTTCCCGTTAAACAATGTATTTTGACTTGACGTATTTTTGAGATGAGAGAGAAATCTTCAACCCAAGCATTTTTCTGAACATTCATTTGAAGTAATATTAGCTCTTGTACCAACGTTATATAAAATTGTTTTCTTACACAGTGAACTTCAAGATAAAGTGTACACAGAGCAACCTTCAAGGTTTCGTGGTCAAGGGGAGTGTAGTAGGGTTTTAATGCTTATGAGGATTGAGGAAATGTTCTACTGCACATATTAATGTGCAGAGTAAAAGTTCTGATGCAATGCTTTCAGATTTTTTCATCAAGGGCAAAATGTATTTGAGCTAGAATATCACTAAAGAAATGACATCTCTCTGATTCCATGTGACATGAGCAAGAGGGACAGAATGTATGTATCACATTAATGAAGGATTATTTACAAGATATTTGCAGGGCAAAGTCATCTTAAATCTCCTTCATAATTCTTCCTCTTAAGTCTTCTTCAATATGTTTAGAATTTGAGTCTTCATCAACTTTACGACTATACCCATCAGCATCATGTTTTTTTGAAGAAGGGAGAATAGTTGGGAGACCTTTTCATAAAAGCATTTGGGTTAATTAATTGGGTAACAAGAACATCTTCTCTTGTCACCGCCATTTAGGAAGGGTCGCCGCAGCCAAAGACCGGTTCTGAAAGCTTCACTGCTGTTGGACTTGTGCGTGCTCTGCATGCACCACTATAGTCCTCGGTCAGTATTTCATACGTCGGCGTGTGAGTCACCGCATTCCTATTTTGTGGCTGCCATTCAGGTAGCCTAGGTCGTCTTAGTTAGGGCATGGACTCTGTTGGAAGTTTGGGCTTGTATGCCGGCTTATATTTTTTGATGGGTTGCTCACTGCTCTCATTTCTGTTTGTGTGTGTTTGAATTCCTTGTGTTTCTGTTTTTTATAT